CAGCAGGAGTGCTACCTCTGAACACACTGAAAGAATTTAACACAAAAATAAGGCATTTTCTAAGGTTTGGGTACATTCCTATACAAAAAGTACACTTTGAGTGATCAGTTTGTACCTATGTTACAAGTCAAGAGAAAATTTCATTCAGTGACTATTAACAAGTAGGTCTGTCCACACACTTGCTGTTCATCGATTTTGGAGAGTATATTGAAGCTGGCAGTTCTGTGTTTTTATAAGGCAAATACTGCCATCTATAGTCACCCTGTCAGTTTTGCACAAATAACAAAATCAGAGCTGCAGTGCTGATTATCAGGTAATTAAAGTAATAATATGTAGAGGGGATTTTGGTCAGAGAAAGAAAGCTTGAGCACGCTGGTGACATTTTGCAGAAAAATATTTCTGCACTTATCAAGATTTTAATATACTTTGTCCGCAAACCTTAATTAGATCAGCAATCCACTTCCCCACTATAAAATCCTATCACATTATTTCATGATTTTACACGATACAGTATTTCTTGGGTTTTAATAATCTTTTTTGTAATGTTGAGCAGCATTTCCAAAACAGTGTTTTCACTCAACACATGGAATGTTGAAAACAATGCTTTTCTTCGGTTTAGACTTGTTTTTAGACTCTGGTCTAGCTTAGTTGTAGACCTCTCAAATGGCACACGTCAGATTACAGAAATACCATCACGTAACAAAGCAGCACTTATCTAGCATGGAGACAGCTTCTCAGCTGGCAGTTACTAGAAGCTGGCAGGAATATGAAGACTGTTTTTCTGCCTTCAGTGGAGAGAGATGCCATTTTGCTTTCATACTTCTTCTTATTTTGAAAACAGGGGTACGACTGGGGTGGGGGCACGAGCATTAGCTCCATTGTAAATGGCTGTAATAGCTTCACAGGAATCCCCAAACTCCAAAGAGCTCAACCTGTTTCTCACATCTGCAGCACAGCAACTGTCCATGGGTCAGCAATATCCTGCTGTTGTGACAAACTGGGAGCCTGGGGTCAAAGCTCCTGCCGAGTTCAGGAGTTGTGAGGAAGACCTTTTTTTCCCCTGTCAAGGCTCCGCAACCCCTGCTGAGTACAATGCTGAGCTAGGCAACCGCAATCCATCAGTCACTGCCAGCCAGAGATGCAAGATTTCGTCTCCCTGAAAACGGGGTTTTCCAGTCTCGGCTGAACTCTGAGGCCGCCTGTCCCACAGGCAGGAGCTTGCCTCCCTGCATGGCAGAATCCTCCACCACCTGCACGGAAGGAGGGACTGCAAGAGCGCTGCCCCATGCACATCCCGAAACCCACATCTATGCTTCCTGTTCCTTCTGTGCCCCCAGTGTCAAGTCTCTGCTTGGGCTTTTTTCCTTGGCACCCGTTCCCCACCTGTCCAGCCAGCTGCAGATATCCTCGATGAGAGGTCACTTTACGTTACATTTTAAAGAGCTGGATTTTCACATGCTGATGAATAGGTTGTAAAAATACCTGAAAGATGTTTGCTTTACAAGCTGTCCCATACAGGCTGGATATGTACGTGTGAAAATACTTGACTACTAATTAAATGACATGCTTTGCACCTGAAATGCATTTTTTAGCATAATTATGCTAAATTTTTTGGCATAACATTTGCAAATTTTAGTCACAAGATGGATAAGGTATAGAAAATCAATGTTTAAGAGAAAACACCTTTCTTTATGAGTCATTATAATACAGCTCCTTAAAAACTCTCAAAAGTTTTATTTATTTATTTTTATTTAATACTTTCCATTTTGTAAATACACTCATCACTATGTTCTCAGGCACATGTTCAAAAAATTCTTTACATAGTTACCAAAATCAACATTAATAAATCTCTAGGGTTAAGCTACTGCAGCCTCCTCCTCAGGCAAATTCCTAACCATGTTGATATCAAACTTCAGTCCTGAAAGTCAGGGGGATCAGCTGGGACACTGAATGATCTCATTTAGTATTAATAGTCATAAAGAAAATAAGAGACTGAGATGAAATGTTGTAGTGGTTCTTGCTTGCACAGGTGTAAAGAAGCACTATCTATAAATAAATACCTTTGGAAGGCTAAAATCTGAAATAAGGAGAAATGTACAGATCATGTCTTGTGTGGATAAAGAGTAGACTAAAATGGAATAAAAGTTTCCCACACAAGCTATTGTTGTCCTCATCTTGTCTAGACTGAACTTAAGGACATTCTTATAACTCAAGTCCCAAGCTCAGTCAGGTATTGGGGAAACAAGGACACCAAACCTCAGTTTTGATAAAAACAAATTATAAGCTGTCAGGCAATTAAAAATACGGATAGCTCTGAAACTGAAGTCTTGCTCTCTCATGTTTCTTTCTATATTGAGCAGCAGCAGTTAACAACATAAAACCACTTGAGATAAGCTGTAGACACATTACACAAATGCTTATTTTAGAATCCTGCAATATATACAACAGACTTAAAATTTAGCTACCTATCTAAATAAAAGATATAAATAAAACCTAAAGAGAACAGAACCTTGATTTTCCAGCCTACTAACTCATGGCTCCCAGTTATCACTTGTGTTTAGGCTCCAGTCCTGAAAGGAACAAGGAGCTCTGCACAAACATAGCCCACCCACTTAGAGATACTTGCAGGGCTCTACTCTGTATCCTCCATGGCACCCAGACTGAGGGGAATGGCAAGAAGAAATTAATTACTGGAATTTTAATATTTTCCTGCATGAGAGCACATCTTGAATATTTAATAAACTTACCACATTGCGACAAGGTGCAAAAACATCACTGTATAAAATTGAGCATTCCTTTTTGGCATAAGGGAACTTGCTCTGATGTACTTCACATGGTCTTAGTGTTTCATTTGGGCTCTTGCACTTAAAAACAAGCAAAAACACCACAAACAATTCATACGATGGTATGTTTATGATGGACTCAGGTACACTATAGTATCATATAATTCAATATCTGCACACTCAGAAAACAAAAATAAAGTTTAAATGCTATTTTCTTCATCTTCCCCTTTCCCTGACTTGTTATAATTGAAAACATTTGCACAAAAAAGAACCTTTGTGTTTTGTTCTGAAGTACTAAAACGTTCCTGCTGTCTGCTCAGAGCATAAAGACAAAATGTTTTCTTTGTGACACATTATAATCATTACCAGAGCAACCGACTGTAACATCACAAACAAATACATGTTCCAAATCCGTCCTTGGTGGTTTTGCACTGACTTTAAATGGAGTCACACTACAGATGGCTTTAGCCCTCTAAGTTCAAATAAAGAAGCAGCGGTAGGAAGAGAGCAACTCCTAAAAAAAATAGTCAAAGGTCATCGTGATAACTCAAAAACGGCTGAGATACAACTCCCTCTCTTAAAGTCTCTCTTCAAGAAGAAAAACAAATTAACATAAAAATATAATAAAAAAAGCACTCAGCTCAGAAACACGAGTTAATTCGAAATCATGCTTTCTTGGTGTAGCAGTGAAGCCTAGGAGGGGGCAATGATAGTTCCGTAGGCAGCATTGGGGTGTCCTGGTGCAGCCTCAGCTGCAGTGCAGTCACCCACCTACGCCGTCTCCCTGTGCGGATGCTCGGACACCGCCATGGGGTCACGTGCTGCCACACCCAGGAGGGAGAAACCCTGGAAGCATCCCATGCTTCACAGTGCCAATGTAAGCATGATTGCCAGTAGCAGAGTTGAGTTCTAGGCCTCCAGCTATCAAATACTCCTTTACAGTATTTAGATTGTGCAGAGAAGATGAGCAGGATACATCTCTACGAAGGCCAAAGATCCTTTCTGAAATAATTCCTAACGCCTACTGCGGAGGCAGATGAAGTGTCAAGTTTGGCTGAGTGCAGGCTGCCCAAAAGGCCAGTATTGAACTCTGATCTTGAGATTGGTAGATTACATGAGATTGTACAAAAATGTATACATGTCCACAAAAAAGCAAGTGCAGGTTTGGGCTGCATAAGCAAAGCTCATAACATCCTAGAAGTTAATTTGCTATGCGAACACTACACACTTTTTTAAAGCAGCCACTGAACAGACAAATTGGAAAACAAAAAATTCATACGCTTCATACAAAGTATTTACACACTTCTTTATGTACCAACTTCTAGATCAGCGATATAACCACCAACGCTACACACTTGCCTTGCTCACTCACACAATTTAAACATTTTATGTAGAGTAGAAAAGATCCAAAGGGAAATATTGAGGGAGAGGAGCCTCAAAATAATTTCTCCAAAGCAGAATAGTTATCATATTTTTTCATGAGGTGAGAGATTTTGGTTCAATTTCCTGCTATGAGTCAGGGCGAGAACAGATTAAACACTAGTTCTCACAGACATCCTAAGGGAGTGCTTTACAAATACTGATTTTTCAAGAGGTTCACAAGGCTATGAAACCTTACGTCTTCTCAGCACAGATCAATAAAATACTTATTCTCCTGTGTTATAAAACACAGATGTGGTCATCCACTCTCTACAGTACCTCCCCTTCTCAGAAACCAAGTTTCCATACTGGGTTGTACCTGTTGCTGTTCTGAGCCCTTTCTGTCTCACTGCTTCTTTGTCAGTTTGTTCTCTGTTTGCAAACTACAACTAAAGAAAATCACCAATTTTTTTTTTCAGTGTTCAGAAAGAAACTTTTTCTACATCTTTTTTTCCAGCCTTCAGATTCTATTTATTTTCAATATCCTGATGCCTCCAACTCCAGAGAAATTACAATTGTTTTTAAAATTGGGCTGAATCCAAAATACCAGAAGCAATGTATCTAACTTGGTAGAAAATTGAAATCCAGACAGCTATGATAATTATCCTATATAGGGAAAAATATATTCTTCCCTAAAGAGATTGTTTCGTTTCATTTCAATTCGGTATATGTTCGCTATGACATAAGCCATTATAACACATTTCACATCTACAGACACAAAAATTAAACTGTCCTCTTATACACTGACCATGAGTTTAGAAAATCTCTGTATATCATCTGCTTATAATATGTTAATTTATAAATTAATATTATCTTTTTTTTTCCTAATGTTTTACTGGACATGGGTCTTACCTGTCCTAATACCCAACTGTCTCCAAACACCTGTGCATTTCTCACCTCCATGTTGTTTGATGTAGTTAGATCATTTGAAGTATATTTGTCAAAATTTCCACACAAACCTGACAGTTTACCCTAAAAGAGAAAAAGGATTCTTTTTTTTTTTCTTTTTACATACACTGACAGTCAATAATTGGTATAAATGACATACATGGAATAAAACATTCTCAAACTGAAAAGGGTGAATGTAACTGACTTATGCTTTGAAAATATCCGACACTCTGCTGTCCTTATAGCTCCATATTGCAAAGAACTTTTAATAGAAATTTGTTTTCCTTCTTTCTTCCTGTTTTCCAGAACTTGTTCTTACTATCTGCCCGTGAAAAGGGACTGGAATCTAGTAATATTTTTTTCTGAAAGCTTAGCAGTGCATCCAATCCAAAAGTCAAAAGTTCAGGTGAATTACCTCATGATTGTGAAGCCTGACTAGTTGCTGTCATTAAAACTTGCTGCCTCTGATTTTATCTCACAATATTGAGAACATTTGTAATAGCAGTTACAAAAGAGACAGCTGCAGCTTTTTTGTGTTGGGCCATGTGCTGCTGATGGAAAAAGTATATATACAGGCATACGCATATACATACATAGAGAAGAAGATACTTCTGCTCAACAGTAAAATGTAGAGTTGGATTTCTAGGGTGCTACAGCTCACTCTAATGAATTCTTTTTCCTTAAGGTCTGCTGCAGACGTTATCTTACTGAACAGGAGCCTCTGGAAGAAACAGTCACTGGAAATAGAAAAAGCTTGAAGTATTTGTGCCCCTGCATGCAACCTGTAGAACTCAGCTCTCTGCTAGCTTACTCAAAAATAGAACAATTTTTTAAGCCAGCTTGTATGTGAAGTAAACATTTTATGACTGTTGAGACAAATATCTATAATAATGTTGCTTTAAAACCAAATTACATGATCACTGTAACGTTGACTTACACTTCAAAAAATCTGATACTGTATTCTAGCACGGAGTGCTTTGTATTTTTACTATAAAGAGACACCTCTCAATACATGTGTTCATGTTTGAGAGGAAGCAGGAATGTAAATATCTAATGTGCAGATGAGGTTACTCTGCCAGGACCCAAAGACTAAGTTGTAGACACACCAAGACAGACAGTGATGTAGAAATGGACAGAGAAGAGCAACTGGCAAGAGAAGGAGCTTTGTATACTTCCCTGCATCATGGCTGAACCCTGTCACAGCATGCTTATTAGGTTTAAATGTCAGGTTTTGTCTAGATCCTTTCCTGTACCTTTTCTTCTCAATTTAAACCCAAGATGTGACTCCATCTGTTCATCTCAGCAGCCTCTACTACATCTTAGTGTGCAGTTCCATCATCAGCCTAATCCAATCTGTGCTACAAACCTGCCTTCTTCCGTGTCACTAGATATGGAAGCTTCCTTTCCACTGGCTTCAGCAATTATGAAAACATGCAGTGAATTGAGTAACTCAAAACTTACCCTCTCTTCCCACCCCCAAAGTAACTTTGAGTCAGAGCTGAATCACTGCGTATCTGCAAGGTTGCAATGAGTGGAGCAACAGAGTAAACATGTAGGAACCACCCCTTCTCTTCAGGAGTCCAGCCATTAAATCACATCCTCTGCCTCTTCTTACCTGGACAGTCCTAGCAGCTAAACACCATGATAAACAGCTATATCACTGGGAAAGTGAGTCACAAAGAAAAGACAATCACAGTTATCCAATAAGATATCACATTAGTAATTCTGAGAACTACACAAAATCTCAGGTTTTTGTTTTCGCTCACCTTCCATCGAGGTCCAACTTTAACATGCATCATTGTCTTCTTATCCCACAGAATTGTAATGTCCAGTTCTGGAAAGTGTATCACAGTATAATATCCAGCCTTCCAAAGCTGATAGTTAGATTTGTTTTCCTGTCCCCTTATGGTCTTCTGACAGAAATGAATATTTATTAAGATCTAATAAAGTAATTCTACCAAGGTATGCAGCCAATTAATAGCAAATTATCTTTAGCATTCAGCTGAATCCATAATATTTCTAGAAATGTTGTTTAATACTCTGATATTTTGTCTTTTCAATTATTCAAGTTTGCTTTGAGATTGTACTTTGATTTCCCTTCCAAAACCATGTGGAAAGAAACAAATAAATGCTTCAACTCCTTGTGGCTTTTAAGCAGTCTTCTTTGTAGAACAGAACTTGAAAAACAGAATTTGAAAAAAACAATGAAAAAATAAGCTTTTTCCTAGGACCTTTATCCAGGCCTAGGCACTTGTACTATGTTAACTCAGGCTGAGAGACGTTTTCCAAAAACATGCTCCTTTAGACCTGTAACTTTACAATGCTTATCTTAAAGGGCAACCTGAAAAGTAAAGAAAAGAACTAACCTGCTTCTCAGAAGATTCACTAAAATAAATCTCAGTGTCTCCAACAGTAATGAAAACATTCTTCGAGCAAACAATATCATTGTCAAAGCACTTTTTGTTCTGAGCAATTATAGATATATTTGAGTTATCTGTGCTCTGCAATATGAAGAAGAAATAGTTTTACTTATAGATTCAATTGCATTTCACTCCTGCAGGTTTATTTGAGGTTTACCACCACAAAAAGATGGATAGCTTAGTATTTACACATCTTTGAAACTAAATTTAAGAAAAGCTACCAAACAAGGAAATGCATTTTTAAACTCAAAGCTGAACCCGCAACCAACTCAAACTTTGGAGTTAAACACAAAGAACCATTACATTCAGCTGTGAGTCCTCTTTAGGAGAACTTCACAAACTCAGAGCATCAGCCTGCCCCTAAAATAAGAGTCTGGTTTAGGCTTTTAAAATGTGCTCTATGTGGAATCCGATATTTACTGCACAGTATGGCTGTCAAAATCAAGACATGCTATAAAAAGAGCTTTATTTTTAAACCAAGGTACTTGAGATCAAGCTGTTTTCATATTTTTAAAACCAAGAAACCTACCATCTGTCAGTAGCAGATAGAACAATTTTCGTACCACCACCCATCAAAATTCACAAAACCATGAGTCATACTCAATGTTATTGGAGGGGGCAAAGGTTTCTGTTGATATGTTTTTGTGGTTTTTTCTTTAACGTTTAGAAGATTTGTCTACTCTGTTGCATTTTGATTTGCTGGTGTTTTAGTAACAAAATTCAAATTTACTGCCTTTCCAATCCCATATCTGTTCGCTGTAAACTGATTCTGCATTCTCAGCACATAAAATCACTTCTCTGTCTTGGATCAATATGTCTGTCTATTCACCTACAGCTTCTGTGGTGCTTCTGTGGTTCTTCTGTGCCCTGAGGGAATCACACATGCACCCTGTAATTCCCTGTGCTAGAACTGGTACTGGAATAAAAGAGACCAGCTGTATTTTCAGAATTGATAACACTACTACAAACAAAGATAAAGTCAAGTTACTCTTATCGTTTCTTATTTTAATTTGCCTTTGAATTCATTTCTGTTCCAATCCTTGCAAGTCAACAAGAAGCCATTAACTGTAGAAAAGATTTGAGAGTGTTAACATTAATATAACACTAATATAAGTCAATAACGGTGTTTCTGAATCCATTAATTTTTCATCAAATTCAGTCCTACAGTCATTACAAACCCGAGACAGATATGAAATAAAAATGTTGGAGGTGGCAAGCTATGTATCTCACCTGCTGAGATATCCAGTCTTATATGAAACACCTGGGTAGTGCTGGAAACAAGAAGATGTTTAAACTTCTCTTCTTACTCCATCCTCCTTTAAATGCTTTCTGAGACTATGACTACCTGAAACCAATGCAGGTGCTAAGGGGCACAGTGGGCAAGATGAGAATGGTGGCTTTCAGTAGTTCCCCAGTTCTGGAAACTCCTCTTGGCTTCCAGAAATGCTCTTGTAAAGCTCCACTTGGCCACAATAGGAAGGACCCTTTGCCTTGATTTGTGCCCACAGCATCTCTCCCCAGAGCTTTGCTCCATCCCTTGGTTGGTGTACCCCTGAAAGGTGCCATATACATACTCCTAACTACTTCCTGCCTATCTCACATTTATACCCTGATTTGTTCTATATTAGCAGATTTGAAGACTAAAAAACCATATCAGCAATTTTTCCTCACCAGTGAGAAACATTGCATACAAAACATACAGGTGCTATGGGAAGGAGCTTTATTTTTTTTCCTTAATAAAAGTCAAAGTGACCAAGCTGTTTAAAAAACACTTTCTATCTAAAAATAAAAACCCAAACAAACAAAAAAAACCAAACCCAACTCTAGATGATGGGAAGTATAGGGGTACTTTTCTTGCCACACAGTGGAGGTACTACAGCTTTGCTGCCCTTAGTCTGGCATGACCCACAAGCCAGAGGATGGTGCTACTCGGCATAGAAAACACTCTAGCGCAAGCGCGAGCAAACACGATGAACATAAGACACAGGAGACTGCCTGCAAGCTTTATGTTACCCTAATGCCAGGGCTTAAGAAACAGGTGGAATGTGTTAGCAAATAGCTTGGGAGACAACAGTTCAGGTAGGTAAAGTTAGCCACTAGCTGCTACTGGTAAGGGGCTGTAGGAAATCAGTTCTTCCTTTTTTGTGGGGGAACTCAGTGTAAAAGTACTGAAAGCTGCAGGGTAAAGCAAAGTTCATCTGTTCCATTCTGTTGTAAAGTTGTTTTAGGTTGCACTCAGAATAAGATTGGTCACCACCTTTTTGGGAAATACGCTGTGTTTTAATTAACTCAGGCTTGCTGCTGGAGTCAGTCCAGTAATTATTCCCCTCCAAGTCAGATAACAGCCCAGGGAATTTTTAGATTTATTGAAGGTGATGTGGTAAACTAAAAAGGAGACAAACTCATTAGTTTGGTAGATAGGATGCAAGCTGATACATTCTGTGCTGGCCAAATGAAAAGTGAGCAAGGAAGCTACCTCCTCACCATGAGTCAGTTCGGAAAAGGGCTTTGCTTGCAGTCTGCGGGTCTATCTGATGCCTAGGACATTGTGGGCTGCTTTCATTGCAGAGTTCATGCCTCTTCAGTCAGCTTAACCACAGCAAAAGGGGACACTCTTGAGTTAACAGGGAAGCAACGTCTTCACTGCAAGCAAAGAGATGGGGGGCTTTATTTTAAATAAAGATAGTTAATTCAGGCTAATTATCCCACAGTAAAAATACACCTTTTTTGGCAATGAAGACAAGTTCTTGGAGCCGCAGCGGGTAGCTGTATGAGCTATGCTAATCGAAGCTGCTGCCTGTGCCTTCTGACGGTTGAGGCCAATCCCTTCAGCTGAACAGCATCAACATACTCAAGTCAGAAGTTTTTGTGTATGACTGGGATTTGAGCCAAGGGCAAAAGTTGAGTTATATTTCAAGTTAACTCTGCAGTAGAGAGAAGCCTGGAGACAGTGAGTGTTTTGCTGACCAAAGCCAGAACAGGGAGTCCTGAAGTCATGTGAAGTACTTTCTTACTTGTAGGACTGCATGTTGGTGTTAAATTACTAGAAATTGTGCAGGATGGAAATGCAGAGACATGATGGTGGTGGTGGTTC